ATAAATTATAATATTTCTGTATGATACGTTACATAAGAAATTTCCTAGTCTTAATATTATTTTTATGTATATAATGTATTTGTTATACTATCTTTTCATTCGATTAATAGATCCTAATTTGCGAAGAAATCTCACTACTTATGCTGATGAGTTTTTGAAAGAAGAATCAAATCAGACTTTTCGGACTTAGAAAATAGAAAACGCCACAAAATGTCAATGAAAAGTTTAAAACATTGTTTGCGAACTGCACATTTACTAGAAATTACTAATTATTTTTGATCAAATCTAGTGAGAGCTTGTAGATACAAAAGTAGGTTTTTTTTCTACATGACAAAGTTTTATTTCAATCTAATCAAGGAACTAATCAATGCTAATTTTCGAACATTTCTCATATACAATAAATATTCTTTAAAGTTTCCTAATTTTTTTTGTCATGTGCTTGAGAAACATTTTAAAACATACCATGTTTATTCTTATGTTGTTTATCAACTACTTTTGATGAACAGTTTTTTCAAATATATATGATGCAGATAGGAAAAAAACAATAGACACAGAAGCTCTTCCATCATTATGTAAAAGTGTTTTTTTATTTTAGTTACGTCTTATGGAAGATGTTATTTTACTTCGACTAATATGAGAAATATTTAAGTTCTTATTTCTATCTAGTAATTACTTCTATAATTGGATATTGAAACGAAGACTTTTGACTCTTGTCGCACACCACACTCTTCTAATCATAAAAGAAGATTAAATGAATCCGTCGTTTATAATTATATTAATTTGTCTCCACAGAAGAAACTTTATAATATGCACTTGTCACTATGACTTTGTCAACAATATAATTAAGATGCTGTTTGAAAAAAAAAGGGATCTGCTTAACTGTAATGATGATATAGACTAGGAAATCTTTTTCTCTTTCTTCAAATCTGCAGCCATTATAGTTTCCAACATGTCAAGAACGAACAGGCTTAGAGAGCAGTATTTATGACTCTTTATAACAGCAATAAGAATTGATATTTTACAATAACAATGAAAAATGAATACTATTAAGTTTCTTCTTTCCAAAGAAACTGAAACTATGATATAGAAAAACTTTATTGGTTTTCATATGACTAGAAAATTTTAATATTGGATGGCAGTCAAAAGTCATCATTTTAAGATCCTACTGTACAGGCTGCTATGAAACCATTACGGTCCACTCTTCAACTTAAAGTATAAACGACATCATAAAGTATTTTATACGAAATTAATGCTTATCAGAAACTGAATTTATGAGTGTAATTATAGCAATTATTCATTATGAAATTATTGACATTGCTTAAATTACATGTCAAAAGAAACTCGTACTTTACGATTTTCATATCGTCATGTCGATATTTTCATAAAAATTATAGCCGATTTTGTGATCTCTATCCAAAAGAAAATCTATAGACATATCATATGTATATTTTTGATGAAAAAACTTTTAAAAAAATCCTGGAAGCTATCCCATGGTAGTTCTTGTATAGACCTAATACTATAAAATCAAGGGTAGTTTTTGCCCAAATGAACTCGTATATTTCAAGTTTTGCTTTTTGTATTAGATTTATCAACATAAATAACTTCAAAGTCTTGATCTCCGTCAAAAACTGCGTCCATTGATATATAAACCAAGATATTTCAGTTCAAAAAACTTTTTGTCCGGAGTATCTCTCATGATTTTTTTTCCAAGTCTTTTTTCGTAAAAAAAGAACACGTAAATGACATGTCTATAGGTTTGCTTTTTGATGGAGATCATAAATCGGCTATAATTTTTTTTGAAAATATTTACATGAAGAATGAAAATCGTAAAGTACGAGTTCCTTTTGACATGTAATTTAAGTAATATCAATAATTTCATAATCAATAATTGTTCTAACTACACTCATAAATTCAGTTTTTGATAAGCATTAATTTCGTATGAAATACTTTATGATGTCATTTATACTTCAAGTTGTAGAGGAGGCGCAATAGTTTTGTAACATCCTTTACATATAATTTGAAGGTCAGCGAAATTGCACCTATCACTACTTTCATTGCAGAAACTGTATTAGTAACGAGAATTTGGTGATGAATATCAGAGATGAGCAGGGCGCGGCAATGCTTCTTTTAAAACGATCTGTGCATGTAATGATTTCTTTCACAATTTTACGGGTGAAAATGAGTATCAGAGCAAATAGTATCGTGAATATTGTACATTTTTAGCTTTAATATTCATTGAACTGCAAAGAAACTGACGAGGAATTACTGTTTCTCAATCCTTGGACGCCCATCCTGTATTCACATCTACACCCATGCTGCTTAGTTATATGCACTGAAATTCTTTAATGTGATATCATGAAATAAAAAAGTATTTATGAGGGGTGACTACAAAATCATAGTCCCTAAAAATATGTTCTTGGCAGGCGATGTGGTGCAATGCCGCACGATGGCGAGGCTGATAATAATCTAGTAGGCTATGACGGAGCGCTTTTTTGCGCCGCTCCACTCATCTCTGGTGCATACTGCTGATTTCACAAGAAAATATACATAAGATAGAAAATTCATATCATAGAAGTTAATCAACAGTGCAGATCTTCTTCGCCGATATGTATATTTTTCATTTTGACAATTAAATGGGAAAATTATAATAGTTTCGCTGTTTTAAAAGCTATCAAGCTACTAATAAGATTAACTGGCAGTTTATACGTCCATCGTTTTTTGAAACCATACCATTCCATTGTATTTCCGGGCTAAAATGAATCAATAGAATAAAACCGAGTTAAACTAACATTCCAAGGCACTGAATAAAATTATTTCATTTTTTTTCCTTATACTGTCATACACTGATTCTGTTCATCACAGATATGATGACCGACATTTAATTCAAAGTCATAATTGCGCTTACTTCGTATTTCAAATTAATTTATAAATACAAGAATTCAGATACACAATAATGAGAGTTTTGTTTCATGATAAAATAATGAAGACCGTTAATTTATCTCATTTGAAATCAGTTTCTGGTTGTCTGAAAAATTTGTTTGCCATCATCTCTAAAGTAAAGTTGTGAAAATAGTCGGAACTTAGCATTAATACATCCCTTGATTAGATTGAAATAAAACTTTGTCATGCAGAAAAAAACCTACTTTTATATCAACAAGCTCTAACTAGATTTGATCAAAAATAATTAGTAATTTCTAGTAAGTGTGTAGTTCGCAAACAATGTTTTAAACTTTTCATTGACACTTTATGGCGTTTTCTATTTTCTAAGTCCGAAAAGTCTGATTTGATTCTTCTTTCAAAAACTCATCAGCATAAGTAGTGAGATCTCTTCGCAAATTAGGATCTATTAATCGAATGAAAAGATAGTATAACAAATAAATTATATACATAAAAATAATATTAAGACTCGAAAATTTCTTATGTAAAGTATCATACAGAAATATTATAATTTATTTTAATTTATATTCGATAAATTACGAATAGTCAAAAATTTATCTGTAAAATAAATATAAATTATGAGTAATTTATATTTATTTTAAATTAAATGGTAAATGACATCCCTATTAAATTAAGCAAATCTCTATATTTTTCATTGTTGTTGTCAGAGTTTTTAATCAAATTTAGGAATTAATCTCATCATAAGTAAAAGTGACATATTTTGATATTTTGATGAACAAGTAAGTTCTATAACAATTGATCAAGACGGAAAATAATCGAAAGCAGCGCTGTCAGTCTGGCTTTTACATTTTGGAAAACAAATGCTAACGTATCGCCTTACTATTTGAAAGCATTTTGACAAATTCATCGGAATCAAAAGAATTGAATGGCAGAATCTGCGCTCGTGCTGCTACAAAAATTCATTGTTAAATGAAAATATTCTTGTCTATTTTTTCCATTTTCATTGTGCATTTGCATCTTACTCTTCTTTGTAGGCCTAATCAAACATTATTTCTGCTATCATTATTGTATTTGTTTTCTTTTGTGAAACAGAACTCATATAATCAAAAAGATTGTTAGTTCAAGCTATTCTTGTATGAAAGTATTTTTATATTGACTCTTTATTATGATTTGCTAATTTGTGCATGAATTTATTATTATCTTAACTTTATGGAAATAAATTAAGTGAACAAACTGAACCGAGAATGATACTTTAATGCAGAACTCTAGAATTAAATGTACTCATATAATCAGTAACAGCTATCGACTTGCTTTGATCCGCAAGCATTCCGAATCAAACTTGTTCAGGCCTGAACAAAGTGGTCTGATGACAGCTTTAGTTGAAAATTTTTTAATAAAAGAACAAATGTTTACAACTGTATGAAAAAAAAAGAATGTCAGTTCATAAAGTATTTGTAGTTCTTTAAATTTTGTGGTAGTACCATGTAAAAGTAAAGTGAAAAGTAGAGACAGATTCAGAAAAAACAAGACCTACAGTTATCAAGTCCCTCCCACAACAAACGACCTGTTACTGGGTCCTCTTTCTCCGATTCTATTCACTTCACAGCAGTATTATCTGCTTATTCATACTTCACTGTTCGCTAGAGAAAGGTCAATGGTGTTTCAAAACTCGATTACTGTACAAAATTACCCCGAAGCTGTAAAACCATTGGCAGCAAGTCGACCATTTTAGAGAAAAAAAGCTCTTCTTCATTCTCTTGATTGGGAACCCACATCCTCAAAATGTATTGTAAAATAAATTCTAGTTCATGTGTTGTATGTGTTAGAGAAATATATGCTCCTTTGTAATTATTTGTACTTGGCTAATATCTTCTTCTATCTTTTCATTTTGGATCGGTTTTGCTTATTCGTCTAAGGTGAAGCTGTTGTTCATTTATAATAAATTTCTCAACAATTTTTTTGCAATGATCAATTTTTTCTTTTCCCCGAACAGATAGAATCCGTTCATTTGAGAATAAAATATAAATATGCTTTTTGTATTATGTTTAAATAACAACGTTTATTTGTTAAGAAAACAAAACAAAACAAAACAAAACATAAATTTATCCTTTTCTTTTTCTTTTATCACCACCTATTTTTTCTGCTCTTTTCTTCACATGTTTTGGTATTTTTGTTTTTCTTTTTTCTCGTTTTTGTTCTTTTACTGCTTGTTTTCTTAATCGTTTAGATGTTGGTGATTCATCTCGAGGTCTAATATTTCCTTTTTGTATTGCCTGTTCTTCTTGTTCTTCTTTTGCTGATGCATAATCACTTGAATCATTATCATCATTATCACTGGAACTTGAAGAACTACTAGAACTACTTGAATTATCATTTTCATCTTCAAGAATTTTCGGTACTAAACGAGCTTCAGTCATTGTTTCATTCATGCCTAATATAGTTGATACTTGACGAAAATCTTTTGATGATGTTTCACATAAATCATCTAATGTTTGTGGAATAAATATGCGTTCAAAAACTCTTTCATCAACTTCATCTGTTGTTTCATTTAATGGTAGATTTTTCGCTTGTTCAATCATTTTATCAAGATAAGCTTGTTCATTTGAATCATTGATAGTTGGATCTGTTATATAATTAAATAATTGTTGCATGGTTAAAATTGTTTTCAATGTATATCGTTTAGCAAAATAATCTGTGACATTTCGACAATCCATTCGTAGAAATTCAAGTGCATTTGGATGTGCTTGTTCAACTGATTGAGATACATCAATAACATATAATTGATTTTTTGAATCAAGTAATAAATTAAATTCAGATAAATCTGCATGAATTAATTTACATTTAACAAACATTGTTCGCATGTAATGAATTAATTTAAGATAAAGTGAAAATGCTTCAGATTCATCTAATGGTGGAGAATCTTTTAATTTAGTAGCTGGCCAACCATTTTCACCTAGAATAGAATTATTTTAATAACATGATTATTAAATATTCAAACTCAACATACTCAAAAAAGGGTTAAAGTCAAACTACATGTTGAAATCATTTAATGATTCAATAGAATCTACATAGTGTACATTTAGACATTAAAAATTTTTTCAACAAATAAATGATGTGATCATTTAGATCGTTGTTTTGTCTTCGAACTAGCTAGTTCCAGAAAACAATGTACAAGTTTCTATAAAATACGAAGAAATAGTAGCACTTTTTATGATATTCTTGTTAAATAAGATTGTTCGAATAAATGTTGTCATACTTTTCTTATCACGAAACCTTCTCAACTTGCAAATCGCTTTTTATGTCTGGTCTTTTTGTATATGGTAGTCCTCGATAATGTATTAAAAGCTCCAAAAGAATCAAGACTCCTAGGCTTTCCATAGGAAGTCATCGCCGTTTAACTGATATTTTAACCTATAGCACGGTATATACAAAAAAATCAAATGAAGATGTTTTCATTTGAAACCATGTCCATCAATAGGCCTGCTTGTAACTAGAATGTTCTCCTCATGAGATATAGAACTCGTCAAAACCAGGTATATTCTACAAAAAACTCGAGAATCTCATAAAGGATACGTTCTTTTGAGCCGAACTTTTCAGAACATTCTAGTTACAACTAGATCTATTTACTGGCAAAGTTTCAAATAAAAATATCACCACTCGATTCATTTGTAATGTGTACCGTCTAATAGGGTGAAGTTTCGGTAAAACGACTATGATTTTGTATGGAAAGACTCGGGTTCTTATCATTTTGAAGCTTTTAATACCTCATTACAGTTTGCCTAATGCACAGAGTTCGAACGCAGAAGAGATTTTCAAGTTAGAAACATTGTGTCGTTAATCTTTTTAAGATTGTCATAGTAAAACTAATAGACATGAAATCTTATACAAAACTATGTCATGTAATTATATAACTACACTATAAGTTTCAACTATTTATCAACTAAAGTAATGCAAACATCGACATTTCCTAGTTGAGTTATTTGTGAATGTTATGTTATCAAAATTGAGATCACAATGTAACAAAATGATAGTATTGGAATTCTATCTTGATTTCTTCTATAATTTATATGCACTTTATGAATTTTATTGACTTCGCTAAGCCTCAATAAAGAATAGAAAATTTATATTGAACAAGTTCAAGAACATTTTGAACAATAAAGAAGTTCTTATCAGACAATGATTCATCATTGCCAACATGTAGAATACAAAAAAGTATCAAGAAAAATCTGCATTATATAAAATAAGCTCTGGTAATTATAAAAACTATGACGGTGTTACAACTAAATTAAATGATTGCTATCAAAAAGTTTTGATTTATTCAAGGGACAAGAAATGAAAAGATACCAACCTCAAACAATGTCTAATACATGTAATAAAAATAATTAGATCTGAACGTGAGTGGTGTTAGATGAGAGAACATTTTTGGTCCTTGTGGTCGCAGTATGTTATAGAAGATAGCAGCCGGAGACTATAGTCTGTGACAATGTTCGCTCTACTCGTCAAGATCTATCTGTTCTGAAAATTTCAAATTTTTTTGATGAAACATTCTCCTAAAATCTCGGAGAGAGAAAGAGGCGACGAGATATCCATCAGTGAAACTATTCTTTTTAATAAATCTTACCGATAAATTCCATAACCAGGACATGATTTTTAAGTGCAATAGGTTTTGGACATGGAATTCCATTCGTGTATAAACGTGATAAATTTCGATATTCTTTTTCTGCCCATAATCGAACCATTTTTCTTGGATTATGTCTAGAATATCCATGTCGAAAACGATATTCACCAGTAACATATCTATCTCGATCTTTAAAAACAAGTATTGATGTTTTATAAACTTTAATAGCTCGATGTTCATTATTATTTGTTTTTGCATAATACACATTTGCTTCTTTTCCTGTTGATATACAACCATTAATTTCTTCAACTAAACCTTGTTGAAGAAATTTAAATAATATTAAACGTGTACGTGGATCAAGAACTTGTTCAACAGTTGCACGATCATGTTTATCTTTTGAACGATATTTTCCATCATCGATATGACCAGTACGAGGTGAATATGGACTTATATCAATTTTATCAACATATCTTAAATAATTCAATTGTTTTTTTTTTTTGTATTTTCTTTATATAAAAAAAAATCAAAGATCTTTCAACATACTTTGATAGAATTTTATTTGTTGGTTGAAAATGTTTCATTGATTGTTGAACAGCTCCATTATTATTTTCACCTTCTTGTTTCATATTTTCATAACTAATCTCATCATTATAATCGTCACTGTCACTATCCATTTGTTGTTCTATGGTTTTTTCTTCAGACATGTCAATATATATGAAACAGAAACAGAAAAAGAAAAAGAAATTCTTTCGCAATTACATTTAACATGTCAAAAATTTCGTAAAACTGACGAAATATTTTATTAATAATCTTTCCAAGAGCAGAATAACCAACAAAAAAGCTTTATTAGTGCTCTAGTTATTGTATATACAAAAGCAGAAGAAAAAAAAATAACAACGGGTTTGGACGTTAATATTATATGTATAAAGTTTAGTTTGCAGGCAACACTGTTCATGTATAAAAAATAAGATTCATATGATTATTTTTATCAGTTTGTTGAAGGTGCAGACATTTTTAATTTTGGTTTAGCTGTTAAACCATCAAAACGTTTATAAGTATAATTAATAAATAGCCAATCATGAACTTGAACTTCACTATCTTTTGCAGGTGATGCTAAAATAGAAAAAATAAAATTTTAAATCAAGTTAATAATCAATCAATATCCAATGTGTTGTTTTTTACGATTAGCACATAAAAAATGATCGTATGCTAGCAGATATTTTTATTGTATATTATTGAGGTATATTCATATCAAAAGACTAGTTATTATTCGTCCAGCAGGTTTACCGATAACTATTATCATTATATAGTTAATTTATGTCGCGCATAGAAATTTGTTAGAAAGCACCCAAAGTTATTAACTTTTGACGTTAAAAGAACCAATAATTCTGTAATAAAAAATTAGAAACGGAAACTATATTTCGAGTATCTATCATCGAAGCTGCAGTCAGATATGAAAAATTTAAAAAGACTTTGTAAAAAAGACTGAATTGACAAAATACTAAATGATAACTTGGTATTGTTCAACGTATGTCTTCGCTTTTTTCGTATATGAATAATTTGAAAATAATATTTAAGTATATGAAATCAAACATACGTAATTTAAGATCAACATCAGGAAAGTCATCAAAATTAGAAGTATCATCAATCGATTTAACACGCGGTTGATAAGCAGCTGGTCTATCTCGTATATGTTCCCAATCAACACCGAAAAAAAATCGATGATTTCGAATTTCATCCAATGAACCCAAACGTCGATCAGCATCCGTACAAAATCTAATTCAATTAATAGATTTTATTTTTATCTAAGAAAAATTAAATTACATCATACTTAAGAATAAGATCTTTAGCAACATTGGATATTGGCATTTCAGGTGGAAAAACAAGTGTCTCACGATAATTCATTACTTTACGAAATGTTTCTTGAGGATTATCAGCACAAAATGGTGGATAGCCAATTAACATTTCATACATAATTACACCTAATGACCACCAATCTACTTTCTAGATGGAAAAAAACAACATATAAAACACTTTTCTATTCATAGAAAAATAAACAACTAACATTATTATAACCACATTGTTTAAAAACTTCTGGTGCAATATAATCTGGTGTACCGACAGTTGAATAAGCCTTAATTAAAAAAAAAAAAAGAACAATAATTTTGAAAGAATATAAGCAATGAAAATTTCTGACCAATGCACGACGATTTTTCTTCCATGTTTCAGCTCGTCGTTTTGAATCAACGGGATTAGCTGCTAAAAAAATTCAAAAGAATTAAATTGCATTCTTAAAAATATATGATTACTGAAATCTTGTGGTCGCATGCTTTGAATATCACGATAGAAGTCAGTTCGATGTGCTTTTTTTAAACCTGTACATAAACCAAAGTCCGAAAGTTTTACATGACCCTAAATAAAAAAAAATTAAAAAACTTTTGTAGCAATTTAAAAGCTCATCATTATTATTTTTCTTCTTTTTTTTTTGTTTTTTTTACATGAAATTCAATTTAAGGTGCTGGAAATTGGAAATTTGACCGAAATCATTCGTAGGCACTTTTTTTTATCATGGTTGCATAGATCTCGGCGATTTATCTATAGAAACGCTGTTTTCAACATATTGAGACAATATTTTTGTACTTATACTTACTAGAAAACTATCCTAAGTGAAACCTGCATTTTTGAATTCGTATTGGACTCATATAGTAAGTATCCGTGAGATCAGCAACAGACGAGTATTACTTGGAGAAGTTCCCTGATTGAAAAACTGAGTTTAAAAAGATCAGTAAAGTCTGTAAAAATTTAAATACATTAAAAGCATCAATATTAATATTTATCAAAATATTTCTTTTCATTGTACTCTCCATATAGTTGGGAAAAAATGATGTACGTTATTTGAAAAATATTATTTGATTATTCAGAAAATTGAGTTTTCCGATACGATAGTAGGAAAATGTCATAAATATGGATTCTTATTCAGAGACTTTAACCATAAAACCTTTAGTTCCATGTGAAACAAATATAATATCCAAAATCAATAGCACAACCTGCATCGAATAGTATACGGAATATTTGAAACAAGTTTTCGTTAAATATTGATCCTCACAACCACTCACTGTAAACTCGATGTAGATTTTGGCGTTGATTCTGAATACGATATTTGTTTCTTTTGGAAACGAAGGTCTTATTATTAATATTGTTGAATACAAAAACATATTTATGGCTTTTTTGCTATCATGTCAAAAAATCAAATTTTCTCAACCATCAAACGATATTTTTTGTATCATTTTTTCTAACTCTATAACGAGTAAAATAATAAGAAATATTTGGTTAAATATGAAAAATACAGAGACTTCATACTTTTGGCTTATTTCAATTTTTAGAGGTTTTTCTGTTTTTTTTTTCAACCTAATTTCCCTAAGTTTCACTATGAAACACCGTCTGAATATGGCAAGAACAAATGTTAAAAAGAAATTTGCTCAATGGCGACTATAAATTTTTTGATAATTTTTGATTACAGAAAGCAATATATGTATTACCAAGTTCTGTTGCGTACTGTTGACATAACACTAGGTGACACCACCTTCACTGCGGCCGTGGTAGAATGCAATGAAGGCTATGCCATCTATTGATATGTCGATTGTATCCAGTAGAATCTATTAATGCCTGCATCATTTAATGGATGACATCTCTTCCTACTAGGCTATATCTGTCCTGCTCTGCAGTCAAAACCTTAGTGTTACTTTTCAAATTGCCTTGCTAATCCACAAGCAATGTTGGAGATATAGATTCTGATACGTTTGATGATGGTAGTAAGTGCTCATTGTTTATTATTAATTTTTTCTATTTTGTAACGTTTCTCCAAAATGTATAACTAAAACATTTAGACATGATGCGGATGAATTTATAAAAGAAGTGTTGATTTTCATTATAGCTTGAAAACAATATTAATTCATATAAACTCTGAAACACGTCTTTCATTTTAGTATTATATAATACAACTCGATGTTTAACAATAAATTCTGCGAAAAGTTCATCAAGAGTTGATACAAGTTTCTTATTTGTTAACATCATAAATTTGACGATTTTTCACACAAACATTTAACAAATATTCGTTTTTCATAGACAGTAAGAAGATTTCAATGTTCGCATGACCCTCCTCATAATTATGTTCGAAACAGATATCTTGTACTGAAGAAAACTAAATTCCAAATTTCTAAATTCTCATTTTTGTTTTAAATAAACCCAACGATTATCTAATTCAATTCTTTGTTCAAATTCTCATGTATGTATCTATCAAAGATTTCTCGAAATCATTTATCTATTTACTTTAGCATCAAGCAAAACATTATCTGGTTTGATATCTCTATGAATAAATCCCAGTCGATGGATAGATTCAATGGCTTCTGCCGTTTCTGCTACATAAAACTGTGCCATTTCGTCATTAAAAGTTTCTTTTTGAATTAATAATGTCATCAGATCACCTAAAATATAAATCTTTCAAAAAAAAACCATTTTCAAAAACAAGAATGAATAACTAACCACCAGGAAGAAACTCCATGATTAAATATAAATTTCTTGTATCTTGAAATGAATAAAACATTTTAACAGTCCAAGTATGATCAGCTTCAACAAGTACATCTCGTTCAGCACGTACATGTGCTACTTGTTCACGTAATAACATATCTTCTTTACGTAATATTTTCATGGCATATATATGTCCTGTATCACGTTTTTGTACTAGACGTACCTTAATTTAATTTAAAAATTATTAATTTACAAAAAAAAAAAACGGAGATTAATTTACTTCTCCAAAAGCACCACGTCCAATAACTTTTAATGGTTCAAAATCATCGGCACTCATTTTAACACGTTTTAAACGTAAATATTCGGTTTCTTTTGCTGCATGTAAATGACGTTTTTCAAGTTTCTAGAAACAAAAAAAAACGAAAATATAAAAATTTAGATCATAATTCAGTATATATATATATATATGTTTAAAGCTTACTTCTTGCTCAGATAATCCTTCAGCATTCATCATTTCTTCTAGTCGTCGATATCTATTCAAAAAAACGTCATAAATTTGTTTGGTCAAATGGAATATTTTACCTTTCTTCTCGTTCTTCATATTGATTAATTAAATTTGCATAAAAATTCTCAATAGACATTTTAGCTTTATGAACTTTTTCTTGTGTTATAGGTGTGGTGGCCATCTGAAAACAAAGCAAAAGATTATCATTTACCAAATTTATTGATTTAGTTCTTTTTTGCAAAAAAAAAACAACAACAACAATAATAAATCACTCATTTATACATTAATATACCACGGACAATTTAAAAAAAAAAGAAAAGATACACGAAGTTCTATGTTCATATATAAGTTTTGTCATGAATAACCTTTTGTTATTAAATTTATATATCTGGCTAATAGAAGAAAACAACAAATTTAGAAGTTGCATTCCGTAATTATACATCAGAATTTGAACTAATCGATATAAAATATTTTTCTATAAGACAGTCACTTGTTTATTTCTCTAGAGTCATTCTTGATAGTGGAAGACAGCAAAAAAAAGGAAAAGAAACATCCTGAGAAATGAAAATGAAACTCGAAAATTAGTATTTGATTAATTTTGGCTATGATATTGAGGACCAGCTGAAGTCGTATAATCATCAAAGAATAAATGTAAATGCTAAACAAAAAATTAGTTAAGAAAAAAAAAATATATAATGAACAAAATCTACTTCAAATGTTGGACGATTATCAGATGATGCATCCCAACATCGTAACATATAATCATAAATTTTTTCCGGACAATTTTCATGACGTGGCATTCGATAACCACGTTGAATTTGATCAAGAACTTCACGATTGGCCATACCTAAAAAGAAAAGTTTACTCTATTTAATTTTATATTGCTCCTACCAGGATAAGGCACTTGTCCATGTGTAACAAGTTCATAGAGTAATATACCATATGACCATACATCAGACTTTATTGTAAATTTTCCATATATAGCCGCTTCAGGAGCAGTCCATTTTATCGGAAATTTTGCTCCTAAAAATGAAACGGGATAATAATTCATATGTAAATCATGTAGACAAAATAATTCAAGAAACAAGCATGTTGTTTTTTGTTATACCAAATAATCGTAATGAATGAGGTAATCATACTGTTCATTAGAAAAAATGATGAGAATGTGTTATAATTTTTTATAGATTAGAAAAAAGGTTTTTTGCCGTACTAATATGATTTGGTGAGTTTTCGATCGTCTATTGAAAATTCACAAAAATTTGATACAAATTAAATGAGAACAAAATGAATCTTATGGAGGAACTCTTCGAATATAAAATCGCTTTTGGATCGAAACTATATCCATTCGATAGGTCCTGATGAACAATGAAAAAGTTTAAAATGCCTCGATTTTGAAAGCTTTCCTTTCTGAGATGTTTTATTGTATTTCATAACAAAACGCCTTGACTTTCATCAGATTCTTTGTGAATTTCGCCTCGAAATTTTGCATAGATAAAATTCTCAACTATACTGAGTTATTTTGAAAATTTCGCACTTTTTAGTTCCACTTATCTAACGATATGAATGCAAGAAAAAAAATTATTGTTAACATCACTGATAGCAAAAAAATGTATTATGTTTACATTTTAGAGAATTTCAAAAATTGATTTTCCAGAAGACAAAAAAACATTATGGATCCCAAACAGTATCCAATGCTTGTAAAAAAATGTTTGAGTCCGATCACACATACTATGTCGGAGAAAGGGAAGGCGGTTCCGTACTTTTTTATACAAAAATTAATTTTCTGTATGCATGGAGACATTTTTTCTGCAACTAAGCGATCGAAAATTGGTTGTGTTCAACGATGTTCAATGTCCATGATCGTTTTTTCTCAGTACCTTTGAAATGATAAATAATCCCTATGATTAGGAGAATTTTACATACAAAGAATTACTGTAGCTCAAGTTTTTCGATAGTATGACTGAATAAACGTACTAATTAACAACAAAGAGTTCCTCTTTATTTCAGATTTGATAGAAGACACTTCGAAGCAATACCAAAAATTTTAAAAAAAATTTGATTTTAACATGAAGAAAGGTGAGAGTGCACTTAACTTCGTTTTTTTCTATTCCATTCGAGTATGTCAAAAATAAAATATTCTATCTTTGAATTCTTTAAAAAAAAAAGCAAACAAACCTGCTTTAGCAACATATTGATCTTCATTAATAATACGAGCAAGACCAAAATCAGCTATTTTAACAACACCATTCTCTCCAACAAGAACATTTCGTGCTGCTAAATCTCGATGAATCTAATCAAACAAAAAAAAAGAACATCTAAGTTCATATTAAATAATTAATCATATAATCTTACATAATGTTCATGTTCAAGATAAGCCATACCAAAAGCAATCTTAAATCAAAATAATCATATCATTTCTTTGATCAAGTACTAATCATTAATTTCTTACCTGTGCAGCCATATCAACAAGTGCAGGTAATTTAAGTTCACGTCCAGGTCCATCACGAAGATAATCTAATAAACTTCCATTACCCATAAGTTCAGTAACTATATAAATTGGCTGATCTTCAGGTAATGTACAAACAGCAAATAATTGTACAAGTTTATCATGACGTAGTTTTTTCATAATATTTGCTTCATCAACAAAAGCTTGCGTTGACATTGTACCAGCTTTCATTGTTTTGATTGCTACATCAATTTTATTATTCCATTTTCCAGCCCATACTTCACCTGAAATATGGCAATATAAACAAATAAGAAAAGAAAAAAACTTCAGCTTACCAAACATTCCTTGACCAAGTTTTTTTACAAATTGTAATGAATCTCTTGGTACTTCCCAAACATCTCTCGATATAGTTGATGTTGTTGGTTTTGGTCTTGGACATGGAAGTGTTAATTGACAACAAAGACCATCAACATTTTCTAATTAAAAACATTCAATTTTTTTCTTGATTAATAAAAAAAAAAGAAAAAGAAATGAATTTTACTTGTATAATACTCTATTAATTCTTCCAATGTTTTAAATGTACGACGTGTAGCAATATAATAACCAATTTTTGGATCTGGATATCGAATTTTATAATGTTTTACATGTGGACCACGTTGTTCATCAACATCACGAACAGATAAAGAATATGGACCTATAACAAAATATAAAATTTAAATAAAAATAAATAAATAAATTGAAATATAAAATTAAACCAGGAGCATTTTCTGAATTTCTAACAAGAAATGTTCCACGTGGATTTGATGGTATTAATAAAACACGTTCAGCTTCTTTTCTAAGAACATTTTTATGATACCATCTAAAAAAAAAAAATTTGAATATTTTGTTTTTTGTTTATATTTAATTAAAAATAAATATATTTTTTACTCATTAACATCAAGACCGCCATGTGGTGCAATATAAAGAGCTGGAATGTATCCTTTTAAACCATTTTTATAATGTTTAGCAAGCCACCAATCATTTTGACTGAAAAACATACATAATAGAAAAAGAAATTTTTCAATAAAATCAAATAAACCTGTCATCAAGGACAAGAAGTAAATCTCCAACACGAAATGTAAGATCATCATCTGTACGTGCATCATAATCATAGATAGCTACATAAACTTTATCAGTTCCATATGGTTGTTTTTGTCGGATGTTATCATTACCTATTTAATTTAAATGAATATATATATACATATAGGATAATCCATAAATAGCTTGACAATAGAATAAAATCAGTATATTCATTTTGTTTTAATCAGGCGAGCTAATTTTCTTCTCTATGATCGAGAAGATCTCAAAGTTTGTATTTGTATGATAAAATCTTTATAGTAGATATCACCTTTCAAAGTTCATCATGGACTTCAGTGAAAGATACTCATATGTAGAGTCCATCAGCACCAAAATTTTCTGACCAAGTCGAATCATATTTGATACATTTTCTTGATTTCTTGCACTTGGTGACTGGTATACTCTATACATTTCTCAGACGAACCATTTGAAAAATGTGTAGCAGCATCGTACTACAAAAAAACTCTCAAGAGATTTGCTCATTTATGGAATGTTGAGCAACATATTAAATTTTTTCGCTCTGGGTCCTGAATTTTTGATAAAATCATGATTTCAAATAATTGACTTGATACTTTGCCTATGTCAAGATCTTAAATAGACAAGCTCATTTAACACTTCGCATTTTACTCAATATCAATAGAACAATATCTACATTTTTAAAACTTAATGTCTCATAAGTACTGTATCAAAAAAATGCTGAAATTTTGTAAACAAGCTTGTCAATTCAAGATGTTGATTTTGGCAAAAAATTCAATAGCTTCATAATGTACTCATTTGAGCAGCCTTCACGAAAAGCATTTTTTTTTCAAAAATTAGAAAATAAAATTTCTTTACTAAGATCAATAATAATAATCGAAAGGCAATATCTTCTAAAAAAAAATTGTAATACAAAAACAGCTTTGAGGTTTCTTCTATTATTGAGAAGAAAATTACTTCAGTTAATTAAAGTAGAGTGACGATGCTGATTTTTTTCGCTATTGTCAGATTATTTATAGGTCACTATATATGTGTTAAAAATACAACAAAAATAAGCAAACAAACCGTTTCCATGAGATTTATTGATGCGATTTTCTGACGAAATTGGACCATCTTTTGATTTATTTGTTATTTGTATACGTATGTCATTGAGTTCAGCGGTCGGTTGTAATGGATTCTTTTTGGCAAAAAAACAACCCATATTGTTTTATGTCTTTGTTCTCAAGTCACCGCATCATCTACAAACTAAATAAGACATTAAACACTCATATTATTGACTGGTCAATTCATCCAAAAATATTCAAAAAGACGAAAGAGAACAAAAGATCATCTGTTTGTTCGTCGAAGAACATGAACTGAGTAGCCATTCAGCAGGTTTCTTTTTATTCATCAATCATTACATCTATGCTATTATACAATTAACCAATCAAATATAAAAATAGAAGAGAGGACGCTATTAGTCATAAAACTTTTTTGTAATCAAATATTTTCCACTGACACAAAAAATGTTTGGATTAATGAATAATACTGACTCTGAAATGCTTACTGAATATATAATGATTATTCATTGAAATGAGTAATCATCTTACGGACATTCCAGTAAATAGATTATTTTTAGAATTTATCACCTAGAGATAGTACAAACGTTTTTATCTTTGTCACGCATGATTACTAAAGCCTAAAATTGAATCGATCATAATTAGACCCAAGAATATCGCATCATTTCAAGTCAATATTAAATATCAATAAAGCTGTATCAACTACTATAGAAGACTTAGCGTTAAATTGTTTCAATATGACGATAGAAGAAACACAATTCATGAACTCTTTCTATTCGTAGTGATTAAATTCGGTAAAACTATTGAATTTGATCGTATATCATAAAGAGTAGAATCAGTTCATTTATGAATATGTCAGAGAAAAAGGTAGATGTAACTATCAATGTACCGTCTTCAGTTATAAACTCTACAAATGTCGTCTATGATCTTTTTGGTTTGCGAAACATTAAATTTAATAAAAATCCATGTAAAAACTCGAATACTAATTGAAGTAATAGTTGCTATTGTTGTTGTGGTTGTTGAAAATATAGATATGTTGCTCAAATATATGTAAGAAGACAATAATACTGATGATTCTATCTATTCTAATGGTAATAATGTCGTTTCGACTTGATTGATAGTAATATTAGCAGAAGGTTAACTTGTGAAAATCGTCCTTTGCGTGCTTGTCGAAGTAGAGAATAGTATTGATAATTGAGTATTAATAGAAATAGCTTGTTGCTCTGTTATAGCTTTTTTATTTATTTTTCCTTTTGTTGCATCAATAGTTACTATGAAAGATATTAATAAATACAGCTAAGGTTGTATAAAAAACACAATAGTGTGTCTAAAAAGACTAAATCTGGAAGATTATAACATCTTACTTCTAAAATAAAGAGAATTAGATGTTTATGGCAACTATCTGAGATTCTATCGGCAGATAGATACAAGTTATTTATATATATATATATATATACCTACCTGATAGATTGAGCAATATTATTTATTTGGAGGTGTATTATAATCAGAACTATCGTTTTCTTTTTGCTGTTAAAGTCAGTGTCCAAATATTGATACATATTTGTATACTTCAATAACTTGTCATACATATTTTGAATCATTTTTTCTACTTTTTTTCTGTCAAAAAATCACATATTCAAACTAACAGATAGTCATACGGAATACCGTAATAACATTTGAAGAAAAAAGTAAGATGGATCTTAACAACTAGTCAGATAAATTATAGAGTCGATTTTTATCGAATACAATGATCGTTTGATTTTTGGTATAATCGATATTAATCTCTATGCAAAAGAAATTTCAGGCTTCGTTGATTGGGAAAGATTGATTAAATAACATTATTTCCAGATCATTGATTGAAATGATAGATTTGTTTCAGTTCTTTACAGAAAAGACTACTGGTCAAATCAGCCATGAATTAGAACAAGAAGAACTTGATCGTGAACTATATGATAAATTCATAATTATCATCATATGTTGAATAATCCAAATTAAGTACATAGTACATGATGTAGTTAAATGAAAATTTCATAACAAAGTTTTATTTTTTAAGGAATCATTCGTCTTCGTCATGAGAGCTGAAATCAGTGAAAGAAAACTGTTTTCCTATAGATTAATCATTCCACTTGTTTTTATTTTTTCTAAATTGTCTGTCAAATGATATAGATTATTGATGTCAATGAATAGAAACATCATTAGTCAATATCATCAAGTCATATCAATATCTGAAAGAAATAACAGTCAATATTAACTAACTTATTACGTATGAGACTTTTCTTTCAAAGATTTGAGCAGAATGACAGAAGAAAATATAATTGAATTCGATTGATGTTATTCATACTAATGATAATTTCTCAGTTCGAATGAGTTTAATAATCTATTTGAATACATGATTGATAGTCATCTTTTATATTTACAAAACAATTTCAGATATTCAATCAACATCATAGCTACCTTAATATAAAAACTTCAAGACGATTATAATTTATTCTTCTTTCGATACATAACTGTATTTGATAATAAAATAAACCGATTACTGAAGGATACAGACCTCATTTTTTCGTACTAAGATAATTCACATTAAAAACTATGCCAATCAGCTATTGATCCTACAATCCTTCTCCAGTAAAAATTACAGCTCGAACGATTGAAGCGTTGCTAAGTGAAAACGTAAATGTGGTTCCACATCAGCATGAAAATCATATAGATATACTACAATTTCTATTCATGTCTGCTCATTATTTTCTTAATACAATGGCATAGCCAGAAAGTTTCAAGTCCTCGGCAATTGAAAATCATTTGGGTTATATTTCTTTTTTAAAACTTCTTGCTATTACAAAAACCGATGTTTACTGAAGAAAAGTTCATTACTTTCAACTAAGAGGTGAGCTCATACGTTTTTTTGTATTGTTTCACAAATACCTTCTTCAACTTTCAAAAAAATAGGACACTACAAAATTTTTTCGTCTGACACTGCTAAAAGTTATATGTTGTGGTCAAATATTCTGTCAGAATGCATTGACTTATTTAGAATTATATGCCTAATTTCAAATCTCTGCGCCTTGTACACCGGTTTATTCTTACATCTCTTTTGAATCACTCATATATCATTTTCTAAATGATTCACGAGAGTCGTTTCAAAATATAATTTTAAGTAAACAGAAAATCGGTTCAACGTATACGAACAGTTATGTCCTTTTAATACAAACATAGTAGGATCAAGAAGCTTCAGATCGAATAATTTGCACGAGGCTTCATGAATTTCAACAGGAAAAATTTATGTTATTCGTTCAGCTGCTGTTTACACGAAAACAATTGATGCTGTGCGAATAATAATTAAAGGTGTTTCTCATAGAACATATGAATTGATAGGCGGCACACTGAGTATAATTGCGCCAGGAATTATTTCAATTTTTTTCATTTATTGAAAATTCTATTAACAAGCAAATATTTTCAAGTACTCATTCACTTTTGAGTCAGGAGTTAGCTCCTTTTATAGAGCTTAGCGGGTTATGTCTACCATAATAAGAGTTCATACTTCTAGCTTATTCTTGAGGAGATCAAAAGTTCTTAGTTTTATTGATGAGTGTTTCAATAAAGTCTCAACTACGTTGAATAAAAAGTTTTTTCCGATTTCGATGAAACTTTCAGTGTTTGTAGAGCTTTTAATTCTGCGCATGTCGATAAAAAAACTTTCAATAACCCTTTTGTTTTGATGAAGCTACACTAAAAATATCGTAAGCAGCGGAACTCTTAAAAAAAGAATTTCTTGAGAGTTTTTAGAATTTTGCTGTTGACAGTATTTTTAGGTTATTTCCATCAAAATAAAAGGATTTTGAAACTTTTTTTTTATTAAAATGCTCAAAATTAGAAGCTCTACAAGCATTAAAAGTTTCATCGAAATCGGAGAACCTTTTTATGCGATGTAGTTAAGACTTTATGGAAACACTCATCAATAAAACTAAGAACTTTCGATCTTCTCAGCAACAAGCTAGAGACATGAATTCTTATTACGAGAGAGATAATCTATTAAGGTCTATAAGATGCGCTAAGTCCTGACCCAAAAGTGAATAGGGTACTTAGAAATGTTTCTCGTAAGTTTATGTTCGATAAACGCAATTATTAGCGTGTTGATGACTGAATGTAGTTTCATATTCAGTCGTTCCGTCATTTTCTGAAGAGATTTCGATGAATTAATGTCAGTTTTGTATTTGACATTACCACTAGTAAGCAATCATAGTTAAATGACTAGAATGCAGAAATAGAAGCAATGTCGAAGATTCGACTGTTATAAAATAAGTCACGAACAGCCAAAGCTGCTCCAGAAGAAAAATATAAGTACGTTATTCAATGTCTCAGCTTTCACTCCGAAAACACAAGACTATCGACATGATGGACTCCCAATAAATTTGAGGTCCTAAATCCTATGGAAGTATTCGCTGATCGAGCAGATTTCACAGACTTAAACATACGAGATTCTTTTCTGATGTTAAAACTGAAATTACCAAGTACACAAAAGTAGATTGAACAGCAGCAATCTCATGTTACACAAGTTTTGAGTAGTCATTGACGGTCTTCTTAAAAATTACAAGCTAATCGAGTACATCAGTGCAGTGTTAATGAGAGCTGGTGCTTGAGAAAATCACGAAAGAAATAACCTCTGAATATTTCTTCAAGTAGCTTGCGAAAAAATTTTTATAGTGCAGTCTGTATTTGAATATATTAGGCCAAAAGCCATAAAGGAGAATAGATAGAATCATTAGAGAACTTAAGCAGAATAATGAGTATCTTGACAAAAAAAATATTATTGAATTATCATCATTGTGATCATCGGCTGAATGGAAATATAATTAGTTAATCTTTCTGAATCAATGACTTAAATTACAACAAGTATAACGTATGAAAATGACACCATTTGGGTCTTGGTACACGTATGTGTGTCAAAATATTTTCGACATTGGGCAATTGATATAATTTCCAGAAAATCCATGCGTAACTAATTTTAAATTTGTAGGCAAACGCGCAATGACCGTAACCTTGGCTAAGCCATTACAAAAGTATATCCCTTGCTAATGAAGATGGTTTTCAAAACTTCAAAATAATTGTCATACCAAAAATGATGCATTGTCTAATAAAGTTACTTTCTGTATTCTAAATTGAAGATCTTTAAATTGATGAAAGAACGTCTATTATTTCCTTTTCTAATATATGCCTTTCATCTCCTGTAATATTTTCTGCTTCATCAGCAACTATATAGTAATCAGTGGAACTTTTTATTTTAGTATTGGTTCTGTTGAAAATACAAGTGGATCTATTCGATTCTGATAGCCAAACTTGAACCATTAATTGATAATAATATTTGTAATTATAAAAAATCTTGATGGTGTATATTGCTCTTTAAATGTGTTTATCTTTCATGACTTTATCTGTTAGTTCTAATGAATTGTGTGTGCTTGATGTAAAGCTATTTTATCCTTCATATCATGAGTCATGTGTTTTTAACGATGCGTTTTGGATCGATGTGACTCATAGAACGACCTACACATCTACATCCACGATCTATGCACTATACTATCATAAAAAAACTTCATCTTATCTTACGAGGGAAGGCCACCAACTGTTCCATCGCTTTTGCGTTGAAACTATTTGTGTTATGTAGTTCCCAAAGAGTTATGAATACGCTGAAAATATTTTGGGCTGAGAGCTTATTGTAACGAAAATAGTCCATTTGTAATGTATGTTTTTGATGATTGCCGTGGTCCCCCTCAGGAACGTTAAAAAAATTGATTTTCGAATTTCGACTTGAAACTTTACATAGAAATACTTCTCAACAAGAATAGTGTTTTCTGAAAGTTTTAAGCCTTTTGATTGTTTGTTTCACTAAATCTGCTACTTTATTTGAAGGATATAAAATACAAATTTCACAATAGCAGTGTCTAGTGATAAGAACACTAGAAAGATCTGAAACGTTCACAAAAAGTTGTTCTCCTTGGGGCGTCTTTCTATGTAAAGTTTCAAGTCGAAATTCGAAAATCAATTTTTTTAATGTTCCTGAAGGGGACCCCAGGCACTCAATAAAACCCATACCTTACAAAAAGGACTATTTTCGTTACAATAAGCTATCAGCCCAAAATATTTTCAGGATATTCATAACTCTTTGGGAACTACATAACGCAAATAGTTTCAACGCAAAAGCGATGGAACAGTTGGTGGCCTTCCGTCGTGAGTTCGCCATTAATCTATACTTTTCAATATTGAATAGTTTTCATTTGATCTAACGTGATATTAAGCTAAATGTTCATCAAATAAACAAAAAACACATATATACAATGATGGTAGATTTTTCTTATTAAACGAAAAAAAAGAGAAAAGTGCATTTAAAAAAAACTAGCTGAAATAAAGCGATTTACATATCTTTGTAATCATTTTTTAAACAATATTTTTTTAGTTAATGACATCTATACGTTGAATTTTATCAGCAGGACTGAACGTATATACAGTATCAGCTGTCTTATTGTTATGTGAAATTCGAGCACGTAATGTATTACTGTTAGGATCCTCTGGTTCACATTCGACAATTGTCCATTGAGATGTTGATTCACCATCTAGTTCTTTAATATAATATTCTTGAGCTTCCTGAATATTGTTGTAAACAATTTTGGAATTTAATGTTTTTTGTACATCGTTCTCGAGAACGCTGTCCAGATCAGGAAGTTTCGGATCATTGACAGCAATAATAAATTTTTCAATAATTAACTTTCGTGACGTTGACATGATATTCGAGTAGTAAGTTTAATAGTTGATTTTGTTGTTTTCTTTGTCAAGATAATAAAACGAGTAAGCACGTTCCTTCAACAAATATGAATGAATCAGGTCGAATATGTCCTATATATAGGTGATGATAATGCATCATTCTTTTTTTCATTTGTATTCAAATACCTTAGTTATATTTGGTAATTGTTGTAAGTGCGTTGTAGAAGAAGAAGTAATCATTAAAATGAAACTCATTGTAACATAGGGTTGCATGAGTAATACTTGCGATTCTCTCTATATATTTTTTGTTTTTTTTCGTTCTTAACATACCACGTGCATAAATACACATGCCTCTCTTTATAATCTATTCTACTCTGAAGTTCAGTGAGTGCAGAAGTTTCTACATGAAATGTATCTAAATTAGTATTATCAAATGCGTTGTTTACAAAATGTAAATATTATTAAAAATAAAATAATCCTATTGATGAGATGTTCTCATAGATAGTATATCTATGATGTGTTCAGGAATTTTTTTTTACACTTCAAATAATCAGTTAAACATTATCATGTTTGATTGTTTTCCTTTATTCACACATCTCCAAAAACTATTTTTATTTAATTCATCAATCTTGTTTGGACTTGAAAACTGTCCGTTTTGAATTATGGCCTCGCACTGAAAATTTTCTAACAGTCATCAGACAAGCTATTAGTCTTTTATAAAGCTCTACGTTTTCTATATGATACTAGTGTATTTTAGAAAGATCAATATAGTTTAACTTAGTATCAAATTTAATACCGAAAATTATTCTCACCTTTTATTTGTTAACAGAGTAGAATTTTAAATTTGAATTGAGCCATTAAATTGTTTTCAAATATTAAAGTATTCCGAGAGAAGATATACTGTGTATGTATTTTCATGAAAAGTGTAATATGTAAAATACAACTTTCTAAGTTTAAATTATTCAATGATTATTTGCTGAAAATGATGATAATTAAAGAATTATTCGATGAGTTATAATCGAAAAAATGAAATACAACAACAAAAAAGCTTGCTAGGCAATAAAAGGGACTGTGGAGGTGAAGATCAATTCGAAGTCGGTACTCTGATTTCATTATGCTTAATTTGTGTTGAACGAAGTAAAGTTTTGTACAATCGTTTTCATCAAAAAATGTGTTATTGTCATTACTTAGTCGAATGAGTAATAAAAAAAAATCTCGTGAGAGTTATTGTTGCCAGACATACGATTCTAAGTAAAGGCAAGTGCATAACCATCGATCTATCAGTATGCAACGAGCAATTCTTAGCAAGATAGACTCGCATTAACACGCTATCTGAAGATAATAACGAACAAATAGAAATAATATGAACAGCAAAAATCTTTCTCGAAAAGTATCAGAAAACATAAAATACCATTCAAATTTTACTCTATGATTCATTATCTATGAAAACTAAGACATTGAAAATTTTTCATAGAAGTATTTTTAAGGAATTCCAGCAAACGAAAAATGTTTTCAAAGTGATTTCTCAAGAATCTTTATAAACTGGAATTACCATTATAAATTCTATCGTGTTGAAGATATTTCCATAGAAAATGAATTGCCCTAAATGCTTCATCAAAACATATCGATACGCTTTTTATATTTATTGTTATATCAGATTTTTAAAATACTTAAATAATCACTGTATTTATATCTACAATTTTCATTGAAAAACAGAAACAAAATTCTTGCTATGTAATTCCTAGTAATAGGTTTAGTTTTCATCATATTTGAACATAAAATCGTATGTCAAATCATAGGCTGTTTCGGTTCAAAAACAACACCATCTTTCAATATTATATTAATTTCATCTTATCTTTTCTTTTTTGATACTCATAGGCACGATTTTATTCACACTAAAAGCTTACGAATATACAATTTCAATGACATACAGCTCATGAGAAAAAAAAGTAACTATCGTAGAGCATTGGTTCATAGTGATCAATTTCTTTCAAGTAAAAACAAAAATGGTCTCTATTTAGTATTAAACTAGTGAAAGAAAAGCTGACTCTCTTTAATTCAATATTTATTGATTGAAACGCATGACGATCATAAAACTGATTGTTGCATCAATTATGCGTTTGAAAAGAAATAGATCATTTTTTAATAAGATGATTTACTGTCAAGAATATGAACTGTTTCACGAAAGAAATAATCCATTCATTACAAACATATAACACATATATGCGTTGCATTCATGTTCATTGGATTTAGAAAAATCAAGAATTTTTATAATTGAAATAATTAACATGTTTTTTTTTTCCTTTTGATTCTAAAATTTCAGCTAGAAAGAGGTCATATATGTAGATTAGGACAAGATCCATACCCTATCGTAGTGCTATTTATACCCCTTTTCGTAAATTCTCATTGAAAAATTAAAAAAACTTGACAATGTCTGATTTGCAAATCGCGGTGGATAAAGAATGAAAAAACGATGAAGCATTTTTTAGAACAATTTTATTGAAGTTAGACATACAACATAAAATTCATTATGAAATTCTATATTTCTTTATCTAAATTCTATTTAATCATAACAGAACAATTTGCATTGATTCATCTCGAATTTTATCGAGAAAAGGTTTTAACCAATCGATAATATCTGGAAAAAATATAAAAGTGCGGTTTTAAGATTGACTATATTTTAAAATTTCAAATCTTGTAATAAGAAAAAATATTTTTAAAAAGCAAAATTAGCAGTTTTCAGAGCATTCACTTTCCTATCAATAGAGAAAAGAATAATAGTATATTATCAAAAATTGATATGTTCCATTAAGATTATGACTGCCTAAACCTATCTTATTGAAAAACAAAATTGTGTTGTATGAAGAATAAATTGTTACATGAATGGATGTCTCAAACTTTTTCTCGTAATTAAAAGAAGAAATATCTAAAACAAATATCATATCATGTAAAATGATTAAAATTATTTAAAAGGATTATTTTTGAAATGAACTAATCCTTCCTAGAATTTATCAATAGAACATTAATTAGTTTTTACTATTTCAAACAATCATTTTCAAGTAAATGTATCAGCTTTTATTTATAGGATTTAAAATGAATAATTATCATGTTTGAATAGAAAATGAGCTATTATTATTCAGTTTTTTTTTAATTTGAAATTGTTTTATTTGATATAGGAAACAAATGTAGATCATTAATCAATAACTGTTACTATCTGTTAGAATTTTCAATGATTAGATGAAAACATTTTTCAAATATCAGAGAATATCTGAAAAATGACTTTTATATTTCGTTTGTCATAAGTTTCACACTTTTTTATTCCACTGTTCTATTTTTTGATCGTAATGTCAAGATGTGGATGTGAGTCTTCATTTCAACCACATTCACACCCGTTTTCGACCACGAATACCTTCTAGCCTAATGAATAATAAAATTGTCGCAATCGTTATTAGAGATACTAATTTTTTACTTATTTATTTTGAAGAAGAAGAACATACAGTATCTGATTCACCATTAAATACAAGAGAACGACCTATGATTGAACTTAGAAAGAAAAACAATATATATTCAATGTGAAAATGTTTCCAAATGCTATTATATAAGAAGTTTTTTTTCTTATCTTATGAACTGTAAGAATGAGATATAAGACCTTTACTAAGGAATTTGAAAATCAGTGTTTATTCTGAATACATATATTTAATTTTAAGAACAAGTTATAAACTATTATGTAAAATTTTTATAGAAACTATGCTTAATATTTTTTCTAGAACTATATCTTTAATATCTTGTCAATGCTTACTCATGTTATCCGATGTTGTTTTGTATATCATCTTATTCAACAATCACTTTCAATAGTTACTAACAAGTCACTATTAAATACATCAGTCATATGTATTTGTACCGTCGGTAGTGGTCAAGTTGGTTCGTATTTGACATAAAATTTACTTGAAATTCTTCAGACAATACCACCAATAACAGCTGAAAATTAGCATCTAACAAAATAAAGAAAAATTTTATCATATTAGTTCTTTATAATTCACCCGTTGCACGTAGTCTAAATATTCCTGATGAGATAACATCAGAAAATATTTTTTTGCACTAAAAATTCTTCTTGATGATATTATTGTAAAATGAAAAATAAAATATTTCGTAATTCACTATAAAAAACAACATTTCAAATAAATGAAGTCGTTGTGTCATCAAAAATGCAAACCACATTCAAGGTTTGACTACGACGACGTTGATTAAAACGGTTCATTACCTGCCTTCGATGGTATTTGATATAATAGGGTGCGGGTGTGGGTGTCGGTGTGGATGAAGACAGTATCTGTATCCACACCCAAAATAAGAAATAAGAGAATAAATATTCTTACTAATAATGTTGATTTTGTTGGAAATAATTCTCAATTTTTCTTGGCAATTTCTTTGAATATTCTAAATATATTTTCACGATCACTTTCACACTACAATTCTCTGATTAATTTTGTTACTTCTTCGAAATAAACGATCAGCAACTTCAATCTGGTTTACAAAATCAAAATTTTATTTTTAAATTAAATCTAACTTCTTTTAGCATTGGTACATTCCATATTGAATTCTCATGTTCACTTATTACCGATGTTGCTAGTAGAAGTATTCCTTTTGATTTCGGTCGAGAATATAAATTTTCTTGCTTTTTCACATGCTGTAGGACAATTAACTACTTTGGCAAGTGCTAAATGATTCCATTATTTACTATAATGATATCGATTATATATTGTTCAACTTAAACTGAATTAATTTGTTCAAATAGAACAAAAAAAGTTAAAGAAAAAATCACCTAATAACTATTGTATAATAATTCCATTGATTCATTATAATTTTACGCTCATTGTAATACTTCAGTTAATCAAGATAAAATTTCGAGCACGAACATAATCAGGTGAAAACAGAAGATTTTAAGTTCATTAATTAATTTATCTTACAGTTTGAGTTGTTCACGAGTTATTTAAAAATATTATTTATATCTAAATAAATTTTTATTAACAAATTTTAATTAACAAAAAAAAAATCTTTTTGACAGAAGAGTAAATGCATTTTTAATTATTATTCATTTTAATCTGAATAATAATATTATTTATTCAAAAATTTCGATGAAATAAAAAACTCGTTTAATAACAGATAATCGTGATTTGTTATTGTTGAACGAAGCATTGTTTTATTTTACAAAAATCACGTATTTCATCATTATTTAATAAATGAAGACCTGTATCAAGATCATCTAATCATGAAACTTTAAAAAGAAAATCTTATTAAATATTATTGGTAAAATGAAATAAAATCTTTTATTATCTTGTAATAAATCTATTTCTACATGTCGAATTGAATAATTTGCATTATTTGATAGATCGGAGATTTCATAAATGATAGTGGATCGTCGAAGTCATTTACAACGATGCATAAGTAAACGAATAAGAATAAATTGAGATGAAACTAAATAAATAATTTATTTCTGAAAGTTTTCAAAGAAAAACAAACGAGATAATAATTGAAATTGATCGAATAAGATTAATTCATTTTCATCAGATAAACATTGGTAATATTTGAGTAATGATGAAAGAATTAATGAAAAATTTGTCCAAATAACGTTGATTTAATGAAAAAGTATTTTCAATATTGCTATTGCTCTGGAAACATTCATTAAATTTGTGATAAATTTCATTTCTTGAAAAATTTTCAAATAAACTATTACTTTCAGGATAAAACTGATATTTTCAAAATTTTCTTTTTCCAATACTAGAATGTAACATACTAATAATTAGATAGACAATTATATAAAACTTACGTTTATAAAAATTTACTCACTACAAAAGTGAATGGTCCATAACTAAAATGATTTTGAAAAACATCATTCAAAAGAAGCGATATAATATTAAAACTCAAGTTTACTGTCTATTTTTCCAAATAGTTAAAACGTTTAACTTTATATAAACAATTTAAACAGCTGTAATATTAAAAATTATTGAAGAAATTAATTTTTTTTAAAGAATAACAATCATTATATAATTAGACGTGTATTCAAAAAAATAATTTTTGAACAATTAATCCATGTTGCATCTCGTTTAAAATTGTGTGTAACATTTATAATCATCATGAACTTCATATAGATTGAGATCATTAAGATGAGAATATTTAACAATTGAGAAATCTTGATCATCATCTTTTGATATTATACATTATTTATTCTTTTGTGGGCTTTGATTACCTATAGTTAATTCTTTCATCAATTCAAATAATCCACCTGAAAAATTATTTGTTATATTATTGTACTTTTTCAATGTATACGGATATGAAAAAATATAACATCAACCTTCTACTGCCTCTGAAAAATAATCAACAGAAGTAATACTTTGATTATCAAGTTCAATGATTGAATGAATATAAGATATAAATCTATTTAATTGTGTTATATGATCAATAATATCCTTCAAACTGAATTCTTCTTCTAAATTTAACATTCGATGTAGAAATGGTACAATTAATTCGTCATATCTATATAGAACCAGATCAAAGAATTCTACGAAGCGTCTTAACTTAGGAAGTTTTTCCTAAAAAAAAATAATATTATTGACTCGTTTAACTAGATATTAAATAATATACTATCAAGTAAAAAAAAGACAATCAATGAAATTATCCGAACGAACGGGCAATTCTAATAGATTTGATGAGAAAATAGCTGGAGATGAATAATGAAATAATAATAATTGATACCAAAGTGATGATGAAACAAAATTTAAATACAGCAAATTGGTAAACATATTATTATGTTTATATTTTCTGTTATACTTCGATTGTCATTTCGACTTATATGGATAACAAGTGATAAAATTTGATTTTTAAATGTATGAAATAGAAGTATTTTATCTAAATATGAATAAAATACAAAAATATCACAGAAAAAAGGTTTATACTTTCTCGCAAATCTAGTTTTCGCCCTAATAACATTGTTAGAGTCTATCAAAAAACAAAATTTTCAGAAATGACTCGACAGAGGGTGGGTGTGGGTGTGTGGTTGGTGTGGGGTGTGAGTGGGTGTGAGTGTGGGTGGGTGTAGGTGTGGGTGGGTGTGGGTGGGTGTGGGTGGGTGTAGGTGTGGGTGGGGGTGGGTGGGTGTGGGTATGAGTGCGGGTGTGGGTGTGGGTGTAGATGTGGGTGGCTCCGGCTGTGGCTGTCAGACTTCTATTCTACATCCAAACCCAGCCACAGCTACAGCCACATCCAAACCCACACCCACACCCACACCCTTGATATATGATATGGTCATACTTTATGTTGTTTTCAAATGATAAGTAAATAAAATGCCGAAAAAAAGTTTTTGCGTTTTTCTCAAAACCGGTTTTGTGCTTATGATCGAACTCCCGACAAACTTTTTTTCAATATACTTCACTCTAGCGAGCTGCGGTATTTTTTAATCGATAGATGCATGAATACTCCTTCGGATGAGGGAAAGGAATTTTTTATTTAGCTCTCATTATTAGAGAAATCCCGAGTTTTCTAGAAAACCTCACCTGCGATTTCCAGATTTTTGAGGTTTTGAGGATCCAAAAGTTGAAGAAAATAAGAATTAGAAAAACCCTTTCCCTCATCCCAAGCAGAAAAGAGTTCTCTTTCAAATGAAAGTAGCCCGAGCTCTGTAGCTGGAGGTACACTAAAAAAAAGTTTGTACGCGTAAGAGCCCTATATTGCCCCTTGTTTTCTAAAAATCTCCTGAATGGTAAAGTTTAATAGAGTGAAATTTTTTTTATGAGTGTACTTCCATGGACCAAGCATCTATAGAAAGTTTCACGAAAATCCGATGTACTATGTCGAAGTTTGATTTTTGAGGGGGAAGGCCTTAAGCAATGAAAATTTTTCATCGAAATGTTAAATTTTTATCAAATATGATTAATATGTAATGGATTTTGATTTCAAAAATAGACTTGTTTTTTAAGGGACTATGTTCAAATTTGAGATCGTTTCATATTGATACTCATTTTTTCTTTGGTATAAAATCAAAAAGAAAGTCTAAGCTTTTATCAAGCATCGATGTAAATTATTTACTATAAAAAAAACCAGATAAGTTTATCTTGGAACATTCTACGAAATTATATCTGCAAAACATTGTAATTGGTGTGTAGACATTGAGCACATGAAAATTTGAG